CCTACGTAAGATCACGTATATCAGTTATGATTAGAGCGCACAGTAAAGACACTCCAATGAGCATTGGCTCAAGCTTATCTAACTAGAAAGGTTGTATAGATAGAGCATTCTTGACTCGAATTCCCATAGTTTCAAGAACATCAGCTGAAAGAAGCACATCATATATCATATATGGTCTTGGATAATCTTCTGAACTAGGGCATTTCAGTTCCTTCCAGGATTGAATGAAGATTAATCTGATCATCATTCAGACTCGTAACTGATGAAGGAGAGCAAGTTCAAAAATGAAACATAGCAATCAAATATGAATTGGATAGTCAAGATGCTTAAAAAATAATGTTTTATTAAAAAAAATAAGAAAGAAAAATAAAATTATATCTGATAGGTCATCTCCACACAGAAGATTACATAAGGCACTACGAATTCACATGAAATAGTCAACGGAAAGTGAATGAAACATCTGATGAATACTAAAATGGAAGCAGAACGGTATTACAGAGAGGAGACTACCCCTCTCTCTCATCGTCAAATGATGCATAGAGAGAGAGAGAGAGAGAGAGAGAGAGAGTGTTTGTAAAATCTTCAAAGTCGTTTAAATTAATTTATTTTATATACAACTGAGGCAAGTGTTGACGATAGCTGATGGCTTGAGGCAAGAAGTTTTACATTCGTTTAGATAAAAAGTGAAAACAAGCAGTTTAGAGTTTGATAAGTATATGAACAATCATCTTGTTCACAATTATATTGATTATATTAATTATAATATTAGTAATGGGAAGGACTCATTCAATCACCTTTTCATCTTCAATTCTTTATATTTCTCATATTATTACTGCACCACCCGTAGTAGATGCTGAAGCTGATGAAGAGATCACTGACGGCGAAGAAGACATGGATATGGTTGAGGATGAAGAAGAAGATGAAGCTGAACAAGTTGTGACCGGTAGTTCATTATTTGCCACGACCTCGGCCGCGACCACGGCCTCTTCCTCTCCCGCTATGTTTGCCACTATTCGGGATAGACGGTCCAGCGATGTCCGTTTTCGACCCTCGACTGAAAAACTTAATTTCAATAAGATTCCAAGTTTACTCAGAAATCATAGAAATGATTTGTTTAGAAAGGGGCACACGTGAATGTTCATAATCTCTCTCAAAAGGATGTGAGGGAAGCACAACTCTTTTCTCAAAGAGTGGCTAAGGGATGATGAAAGTATCGATGTCCTCAGGCGTATACAGATGTTTTGAGAGAAACAACTTCATACTCGAAGTGTCTTCAGATAGCATTTCATTTAAACTGATAAACTATGATGTATTGCCTGAAGACTTTCGAAATCCTCAAGACTATCTACTGACTTGCTTTCCTCACCGCTGGCCAACGGACTATCCGGCTCGTCATCCGAAGACAAATCATCCTCCTGGTAACTGACGTTGTTATCAAAAGTTGAAGGGAAAGCAGCTGCTGTTGTATTTCCCTGAAACTAAAATTTTTAAATATTGGAACGTATCGTGTCCAAATATGTCACATGCTGGAGATTCCAAAATGGTTTTGAAAGATAGAAAAAGTAAGAGCTTACAATGTACTCGGTGTTGCCCGTAGGATGGATTGACATCGCTTGATTCTGAGCCATGATTTTAGTCATCTTTCCTTGAGCCCCTAACATATCTTCCAGCTTGTTGATGTATTCTATCGCTGAACGGAGAATTTCAACCTGGAAAGAAGTTTATTTTGAAAGCTTTCAGGATTTTGAAATACTTTTGGTAATCGCTGATTAGGGTTTGGACATGTCCTTTGCTTCACAACCTCGAAAGCTTCATTCACTTTTCGGAGACGTCTTCTTTCTCTCATGGTTGCAGCCTTTCTGCGATCCACTACAAATGTATTGCATTAGGAAGAATGAATTATAGATCACTAACATTTAGATCTTCTTGGAGGGTTTCCAGGATCGTTGACGTCCATGGTTCCATCATCAGATGTGATAGTTGTCGAACCGAGATGAATGTCTACAAACAGCCGTATAAGCTTTCGTGTCTTCTATTCAAACTACGCTTACCATCTTTCTCTTGTTTAATAGAAATGTCCTTCACATCAGCACCAACTGGAGTAAATTCGATATTTCGTTGAGCTCCAAAACTAGTGAGTTCGGGATAAAATCCGGATGAAGATGTAGCCTGTCCTGCATATGGTGGATAGTAGTTGTACCTGTAAGAAGAGCATTGAGTGTCTCCAATGACATAAAGATCGTTTATTGAGGAAAAACAATTTCGAACGTAAAATTTGAATTTTTTAAGTTTTTTTTCTCTTTCTCACTCAGTCGCCGTGATTCGTCGTCAACTTTACAGCATAGTTATGTATCCATCTATTCTTAATTTCTGAAAAAGTTTCGGACGGAAGAGTCAGCTGTCGTTCATCAATCAACATTCTTTTGCTCTTTTTCTCTGTTTCTCTTAGATATGCGTTGAATTTCGTTTCTTTTTATCTCTCTCTATCTATTCTTATTCAGGAAGACATATATCGCCCACCACCTTCAGACGATGATGTGCCTGAAGAAGCTTCGATACCGTAACCTAAGTAGGTTGATACATCTAGAGAGTGTGGTAGATAGAGAGAGACAAGAAATATAAAAAGAGGTAAAAAGAGAGATAGAGAGAGACAAGGAGGGTTGAATGAAAGAGATGGATTATCATTCGCTCATTTTGTTAAATTTGAACAAATTTTTAAAATAATTATAAAATCGTCATCGATTGGAGAAGAGTGTTGACTCTCCATGTTATTGCTCAAATCCAAAACGTTCACAAAATAATAGAAAGATGGTTTTGACAAAACAAAACGAAGACTTCTTCTTCTCCGAAGTTTGATGGCCGAAAGTCAAATAACATCTTCATCTTCTTTCTTTTCGTTTCGCTTGACACCAAGTATGTTGGTGACACATCGTAGTTTAACGAATATATTAAGGATGGGAGAGTATCATACAATTATAAATAAGAAGACATTTGGTGATTAGAAACGTAGCACATGTAGCGCAACTGGCGTATCTACCCCAATCAGGTGGTCTTCTATGTACTAGAAGAAGCTTCGGAACAGACACCCTCCCTCAAGCCAGTTGCCTTTGCCTCGAATACTCGTTGGCAGTTCACCTCTTCAACCTTCTCCTTACCGTCCTCTCTATTTGATAAGCCTCTCAATATTTTGTTCCTTAATCAATTCTTCCATTCCACTTTCATATCGTTTTCTTTATATCTTCACTTCGTAAACTTCGAAATGCACTTTCTCTCTCCATCACCTCAGAAATGAGATTCGAATTCATCATCTTCTCCAACTTTCACAGTTTCTAAGCATCCGCATGAAATTCTTACGCAATTAAGGATCGATTCTGGGAAGTCTAAGATTTTCTTTCAAATCTCTCTCTTAACACAACTTTTCGAATAGCAAAAGCACTAGATCTCTCTCACTACTTCCTATCGTTCATTATCATTGTCGAAAAGCAATAGCTAGTAGTCTCAGTCTCAAAGATTGAAAACAAAAATAGGATTACCTGTAGAGATCGTAATTAACAGCGGTGTAATCCGTTGGTTGAGCTGCCGCAAAAGGAGCCAGAGTTGTGATGTCGTTTGAAGTTGAAGATGCTAAGCCGTTGCCTGCAGCAGCTGCAGCTACAGCAGTAGCCGCTGATGTCGTTCCAGCTACAACTCTACTTGTAGCTGAGTAGTAGATGGTCGGATCGTAACACGACGGGTCTCCATTCATTTCGATCGGTTGAAAGCTTAGAATTTTGACTGTTGGTCTGAGCGAAACTGAGCGTTCAACGAGTTCAATGAGTTCTCGTCAACGACAGTTTCAGCAAGAAGCTTAGAACAAAGAAAATTTGAATAAGTTAAGAAGAAGATGGTAGAAGAAGTGAAGATGAAGCTGAAAGTACGAAATATAATAATTATAATGAAATTAATAAGGAAAAGATGAAGATAGAAGACGATGTAAGAGAAAACGCGGTATGATATGTATTGTTTCATATTGAGGCTTGAAAGGAACAAATGACGCTTCACTTAAATGGTAGTACATACAAGAAAAAAACGAATCTAGAGCCTGCTTAGAGGCTGTTGTGTCGCCGCTCGAACAGTTGCAGCGTCAGGTGTGCTGCTCGGTATCGGATCTGAGTTAGAAGAAGCCGAGGGACACACCTCCTCTTTCCATTGCCTTCTGCTCCTGCTCTCTCATTGTGGGCGGAGTCTCGCAAAAGATGAGCTACATTTGCAAAAGAAGAACAATACGAGAATTAGAAGAAAAAGAAGTTATAACTTATCAAGCAATAAGTTTTGAACAGAAGTTAAGAAGTAAGCATGTATGTGACTCATCGAACGGTTCATTCATATCTTCTCGCTGTTGCATATAGCCCGTGACTGACAGCCATGTACAGGCTTCGCGCAGCCATCATATCTCTCAACCATATCCCTTCTCTGATTATGCTAATTCACATTTTTTTCTTCATCTGTGAACAACTGTTTTTCTCGAACGATGAAACCCCTCTCTCCGAAACATTTCTTTAAGCTTTTAGCTGTTAGCTCCTCATTTTTTTCCTTCTCAACTTAATTGCTTTGCTTTCTAATTTCTGATTCATACATATCCTCCGCTTGTACTGTCTAGATGAAAGGTTCATTCTCGAACTTAGATTTGTGAGTGAGCGGTTGCATTCATCTTCATCACTCATTTTCTTCAACAAAATTCAAAACTTAAACTATTTGAAAGTATTAATGAGAACTTATCATTTTGGGTTATGTTTCTTCTCATATTTCATAGCCGAAGCTATACCGTCTGCTCTTTCACTTAGCAATTTGACACCTTTTTTTCCGGAAGCCGGTAAGATTAGTGAGTAAAAGGGGAAATCTGTTGCTCTTTGAGCTTCACCTGAGATTGCGGCCGACTTTTAGAACACTCAAGTTGTGGCTCTCCGGGCAAGTGAAAGAATACGGCACAAAGACAATGAAAGAGAGTAGAAGTTGAGAAGAGCTTAAAGCGGCTGAAAGTTGCCTTTCAAAAGGAATTTCTCATGAAGTTCGGTGGTAGGAGGGCAACTCATAAATCCAATTGAAAGTTTAAGGCATTTAATTTACAAAATTCCGATAAATCGTTTGAAAACTGACGGATGAAGTAATGAAAGCGGCGGCCGCCTGCTTTCGTTGTCCCTTCTTACAATTTTTCTGTTAATTTCCTACTCTCAGCCGAGAATTGCGTCATTGCTCTGATGAGATTGTTGTCTGCTTAATGTGGCTTTCGGAACAAGTATAATAAAAAGTAACATAGAGTTATCATTAGGTAAGACTCTGGTGAGAGAGAGAGAAGATGGATGTATGCGCAACATAGAGAGTTGCAGAGAGATAACCGAGGTGAGGATAAATAAACAAATATTATAAGTTACAGTAAGGTCAAGGCGGTGTAACATATTCTTCTCAAAACAAATCTTCTGTAAAAGTACTCTTAACCAGTTTATGATTGGCTTTTCTTCCCAGAAAGTAAGATTAGGCTAGAACGAAGTGAGATAGAGAGAGAGAGACAGATAGAGAGAGGGAAAGATCTTATAACTATCAACATGCTAGATATTTCTGTGAACTCTGTCAGAAATTTAATGAACACATCTTTCAAGAATGCATTTTCTATACTTCATCTTACCTGCAGAAGTGATGAAGAACTGAAAGTCCATACCGTACCCTCAATGTGTATGAGTGAAGATGGAGACTTCAATTCGATAGTTAAAAGGATATTGATACATATAAGTATGTATAGTTACTAATAGATAGATAGAGACAAGCGTAGAGAGAGAGTGAGAAAGAGAGAGAGACATAGAGAGGTGGAAAAACATAAAAAGTTGAAATTATGAAGGATTGGCAGATCATCAGAATCTGGTGAACAGACGTCCAAAAACTGTCATATATCATGATGTGAACAGAACTGAGAGTCAATGAAGGACTGACAACACAGTTTATGACTCTTTATGATTGTTGTACAATGACTTCTTAATTTTAAAACTTTTTTCATTCTATCTTATTCTTTCTTATTTCAAAGATAGCTAGGTAGTGTATAGAGAGATTATGAGAGATGACAAGTTGAGTAGGAGAGAGAGAGGGGGGGGGAGAGAGAGATGTTATGCATTGTTTTACAGAATTGTTGAAGGAGGAGGGGAAGTAAATAAATCTTGTGAGATGTCAATCAGTTTCTTTCTTAGTCATTATCATGGTCAAGCATTCTATCATCGGCAGAGACGGAGTGATTGAAACAAACTTAGAGAAGCTTAACAGCTGTTCAGCTTGTAAAAAGCTTCTCCTTCATCTTCATCGATTATCAATTACGTTTAAAATGGTTTGTCGTTCGTAGTGTTATGGATTGTGCTGTGTATATTATGAGAAGAACATTTGAAATTTCATTTTGTATTGTAAAAAAATAGAAAAAATATTAATTTATAAATCAACTTATGATGTTGAAATTCAGATCACGTTTCAAGCTCTTCTCACGGGATTTTACCAGACATTTGTATTTCGGCGGTGAGACTGTCAATCCCAGTATTCGTTGTGTTGATAATTGAACATCATCTGATGTGAAGCTATACTTCTTCAGAAGATTTGCAAAAACTAAAAACAGTTCCGCTCGTGCTAACGATTCTCCAAGGCATTGTCGTTTGCCGATTGAAAATGGAATAAATTCTTCAAAACGTCGTAATTTGCCACTGGTTGTCAAAAAACGATTTGGATTGAATTGATGAGGATTTTCAAATATAGTCGGATCCTGGAATGATTGAACAATAGCCGGTCAGATGTGATGAGCACATACCTGCATTAGAATTGATATTTGAGGAATGACTAAGGTGCCTTTGGGATATTGATAACCATCTAGCTCAACAGATTCTGAAGTTGTCCTCAGAAGATTGATTGGAAGAATATTGGCGACTCTTTGAATTTCCTTAATAAATCAGATTTCAATGATATTACAACAGATAGTTTAATTTACATTAATACAAGCTTGTGTATACGGTAGATTCGGTCGATCGCAAAGGGTGATTTGTTCGTTTTGACAACTATCGAGCTCTTCTTGTATCTTCTTTTGTACCTTGAAAGAGCTTCGTTTAATTCCAATACAGACATAGCTTTGATCATAAGTACAACCGCTCACTAACGTCGCATTAGTTACAATGAATGTGATTTGAGGCGAAGTTCATTCAACGAATCTTCTCGTTAGACATTCACGTCGATTCTCCACGTGATATATACAACGTGATCGCATAGTTCACTGGTCAACGATTAAAAAAGAAAAACTAACATCTTGATGAATAGTGGCCAACAAGAATCCCCATTTCAGAGTCGTCACAGTTGTCTCCATTCCAGCGAAGAACAGATCCAATAAGAGCATTTTCATTTGCCACTCACTTCAAAGAAGAATCGGTTGGTTAATGAAGGAACTGTAACGGTGTTCCATACTCGAAGTATCCCATATCATCAGAGGTTTCTTGTCTCTTCTTCATTTCTTCCATATACTTGTAAGTAAAGTCATCTTCATAAGGCAGATCGTTCTCGAAAGTTTCTCTGTGCTTCTGAAGCAAATCATGTTGACGACAAAGGGGATTCCCAAAGATACCTGGATATGCTCTTCTAAGAAGTTCCACAAGTGGTTTCTTAATTTCATTAGTTCGTTCCATTTCATGTTCAACAACGGAATTTTGGAAGTGAACGGTAAAGCTATGTATAATCCCATAATGGGATTAACGACTAACTGAGATTGTTGATCCAATAATCCATGAAGATGATGCATCTCCTCCGAACCCTGTTGAAAGGAATGGTTCAGACTGTTCATAATGTAAAGCTATGCATACTTGAGGAAATCTTTCACCGAACAGTAGATTCATTATGATATTACCAACACACACAGCGATAGGACTGTGCATTTCAATGGGCTCATCAATCTGTCCTAAGTAATCAACAAAGGCATCGACCTATAAAAAGGAATAGTAAGAATAGATTTCCCTCAAGGCTAACACCTCAAACATTATTTTCTGTTCCATCAAAGCTCGGCCGACACCGAAATCACGTAGAACATGCAATGAGAATCGTCGTTGTTCCCTCCACTTATCTCCATCAATTTGAACGACTCCATTAACTCCACCTGAATATGTTTGTGTACATGGATGTGTACATGTATGTCCATATGTCTATATGTATGTGTTCTATTCAAGACCCTTGACATAATCCATTTAAGGTAGATGTGTATGAATGAGAATCAAAATAATTATTTAAATTTTACCCATAAATGTGTCCGTCACATAATTTCTCCATCGATTACTGAACTTATCGGCATTTACAACAAAATATTTTTTAATCGATTCCATATCGCATATCTTGAATATAGATTATATGGTTGAATGATATGTTGTCGTTAAGAAGGAATTACCATGACAAGAGGTGTTGGTCCAATCCAAACAGTAAAGATACCACCGTATGTTTTTCTCCAAAATTGGAAGAGATCATCAATAGAACTACCTAGAATGGGAATAGAGTGAGAGAGATGAAGCTTCTAATTCAAACCTGAAATAAAGGCTGGCATGTTGCCGGCTACTAGTAAAGGAGTTGGCCCTTTGGGCAACTTCCTTCGTTTCCAATACAATTCATAAAACAAATAAGATATAATGAGAGAACATATTGAGATCTGAAAGAGATGATCATGTGTCCAGATGATGACAGATTTCATTTTTGTCTCTTTTTCGTTTGGTGATGATGATGAACAGTATTCTGGAGAAGTCAAAAGGTAAACTAGTTCATCCCAACAGAATTATTCTTTCATGAGGTGAATGTACTTGAACAGAACAAAAAAAGTTTTTTTGTCGAATCCCGGATCATCTTCAGAGATTCGAATGAAAGCTTTCATTGTGAATATGAAGAAGATGATGATTGAGGTAGAATACGGAAGGTGAGAGGGGGGGGGGGGAATGATGATGTTTGAAATTTAAAAATAGATTTGTAAAAGGGTAGACAAACTCACAGATGGATGCGAATGACTGAACTGTAGAAGACGTGTGGATATGAGAATAAATGGAATTATTGCAATCAAATGTCTTATCACTCGGCTATTTATCATTATTGTTTAGCTCATTCCAGATATTGTGATATTCTGAAAGAAGATGAATCCATATGAGGTATTGTCTGATGTAATAACAAAGAAAGAATAGACAAGTAGACAGCATTCGAATTGACAGTAGTGATAACGAAATCAGATGCAAGCTTATTCAATAGAGAGAATCAAGTTCTGAAGAAGCTTATGCTCGATTGGTAATCTCTACAAACCGAAACTATCTAAGTAATCAAACTGGATTAGAAGTTATAATAATTGAATGAGAGAGACTGGTTGATCATCTGTGTTGTTCACACAGTTTCTAAAGAAATTAATTTTTAAACATAAACGTTTCGCTGAAACATACATGGCCTGAAAGAAGGCCCGAAAATGAGACGAGGAATTGTCGTTCGTCAGTTCCTTCTGGGGCAACCGGAGAGAAAGTTGGTTGTGGGGACGGTCATCGACGGTCATCCGAATAGATTGCGGTAGTTATTCATAGGTTTTGGCTGTATTTCTCTCACGTCTCATCTTGTTGTATGCACTTTTTGGGCTAATCGTTCATCTATACCCTTTACCTGCAACATACATTTTTCTAGTATGAAGAGATCATACATTATTATGAGAGTAATAGATAGAGAGAGAGGGTGGTTCATTGATAGTCTTGTGAGTGATTGGATCGTCCCAAGAATTGTGTCATCCATCCACTCACACTTTCATTTGTCTGGTTCTCCCCATGCAATTCATGTTGAAAAGACATTTTTTTGAAATCTCTCACACATGTAACCCCTTACCCCTTTCCTTACTTTTCTTACCAAAAAAAGATTGTTCTCTTCAACTATTTCGATGTACGAATGAAACCTTTTATAAAGTTTTCCAACATCTCAATGTTGTTCAACTGTAAAGGCTCTTCATCAACATCCTATTAACAGTGCTGCCAGAAGAACAGTTCTTTTCTCTCTCTCTCTCTTTTTCATTAAAGACTATGTACGAACAAGGGCAAGAAAACTGATTTGTTACATGCAGCAAATCTTTTTGATCTCAAAATTTAATTTTTTTCAATTATTTTTTAACCAAATACGGTAATGGGTGCAGAAAGGAAGGTAAGAAGGACAAGTTATAACACAAGCTTAAAGAGAATCAAATAGATGGATAGGACAATAGGACTCATTAGGAAGTAATGAGAGAGAGCATAACATTACAAGTATGAATTCCTTTTGAAGCCCAATCTTCTTTTAACCGGTGATGTCCAGTTTAAAACGATAAAGCAAAGAGGAAGCTTCTCAAACGTGTCTTCAAATCTATGTTCATCATCATTTATTAATTATATTTTCACATAAGCTATCTTCATTGTTGTTTTGAAGTCACAACACCTTCGAAGGACGTCTTCTAAAAGTTTGAACGTTAGATTCAATGGGGATTCTTCAAAAACCGTTTTGTTATCGCACTCATAAATCTTTCAGAGGAAAATTCTAAAAAAGTTAAAAGTTCGACGGTTTTCAACTTCAAACCGGCATTGTTCTCCGTGTGAGACGTTAAATTCTAATTTTTCTCGGTTCATTACCCGTGACGTGAAAACAGAGTGAGTATCATCATTTGAATTCAGTGAAGACGATGGAGCGGTTGCATACGATGTCCTTTGCATGCTCTCAACCTATTGGCATCAATCACCTTCGTGTTTATGTTTGTTGGATTGTTTGTTCCATAGATTAGCTATATAGTAGTTATACGATTTGTGAAGCTAATGAAATCTATTCGAACATGCAAGCTTCAACCTGAATATGCATTGGGTGATAGGCTAACTGGTCAGATCTCTATACCATCTAACAGGATTTAGTATTATCTAGAGAAACAGAGAAAAAAACGAAATCGTCGTTCTGTTCATCAGAATGCTAATGATCCTTGGTGGTACGTGAATAAAATGAGAAAAATTCGTTCAAAATGTCAACATATAATAGTTTTCAGTTGTAATCAAAATAACGCATCTATGAGTTTTCATGTAGACGTCAAAGAGAACGAACGATGTAGTGGTCGACAAGCGTAAGTGAAGACAGAGAGAGAGAGTGGAGATAGCTTGTTGTTGCTTCTAGTAACCTAGATCTCGCCTCTTCTTTCTCCTCTCTTAAATAACAAATTATATCTCTTTGTGAATAAAAATTAGATTTAATCTCATAAAGTCTCCACCTCTCATCTTCTTCTTTCAATCTTAAGTCCAATGTTCCTCTCATCTCTTCCTGTTTAACTCATTTTTCATTTTTATTTTCGTTCTCTTCTCTCCTTTTTTGAACTTCTCTTATGCGAGTAAGCTTGTTTATCAGATGACCAGCTTTACTTACATCGATAATCTCATTGCTTTCTTCTCGTCCACATCATTCGCTACTGCTTTGCAAAGCTTCTTCGTTACTTTCCCTTTTATCTTTGTACCTGAACGTCTTGTAACAACGTGTTCTTAACTATTCAACAAAACCTTTTTTTTCTTTTTTTTCTAATTGATTGTTGACCATTGTCTTCTCCTCGTCCTTTTTCGAGGAGGAAAAACGATTTGGAACTCCAACTATGACTATTCTATCGAACTGTTGATCTTCTTCGGATCATTCTTTAAAATGAACTTTTACTTGAAATGACCTCGTCATTGCTCTTCATAAGGGCCGGTCTTCATACATATTTGATTTCTCATCTGATTTTTTCATTAAATTCTGCAGAATATCACGCGGATGCTCGTTTCAGACTGAATGAATAGCTTCATTCTCTTCTTCAAGCATCTCGTCTCCTTTTCGAACTCTTTCAAACTTCTTCAGCAAAGCATTCTCATAATCTATCTTAATTTTTTATTTCCTTTTGTTGATTATGGATATGATTGAGAATTTTCTCTCAGATCATGGAAACTGTGGCTGTTACCGGAGCAGCAGGACTGGTCGGTCGTTTCGTTGTCGATCGGCTGAGTAAAAACGAAAACGTTAAGGAAATTAGAATGATTGATCGGAATGAATGTCATTTAAGAAGTAAACGGTTTTCTTGATTACTTGATTATAACTTATACGATATAGTTAAACGAGATAATGTAAATATTCGCCAAATGACAATTGATATGTGCGAAGCTGGAACCTTGGAAAGAGCTTTAGCTGGATGTACAACAGTTGTACACTGTGCGCATCCACCTATTCCAGTTGAATACCAAGACAAAGAAGAACGACGTCAGATGTGGAGAGATTCAGTAGAAGGTACAGCTCACCAGCTTCTTGTATAAATTATTTTAATATTATACAGCGGTTGAGATTCTCATGGAGAAGATGTTGCTGAAAGGTGTCAACCGCTTAGTTTATGTTGGAGATGCTTATTCAGCTTTACCTGTTGAAGATAACTATGGGCTTGGAGCGGAGATGTTTGGGTGTGTTCTTACTCCTTCCAAAATCCATTTCATCATCCATATTCTGCAAAAAAAGTTTTTGAAATTTTGGCTGTTTATCATTTTGAAACTGACAACCGTTTCGTATGAGTTCAAAAATCAGAAATGACCAGAGCCACGTGAATAACGTGAGATTACCATCTATCACGTGAAGTACGTGAGATAAGAATCGCTCGCATGACAGCTTCGAGAGTATAAGTTTACAGGGGTTTCCAACAGAACTACTTGCTGGGCGAGTATGGAGAAGCTCGAACTCGCGCAGAAATGTTCGCAAGAACCGCAGTAGCTCGCGAAGGTAAAAGAAGCTCATCTGGTAGATGACTAAACGTCTGCTTCTAGATAATCAATTAGTTGGAATTTTCCTGAGACCTGTTCATGTTCATGGAGAGGGTAAAAGCTCATTCCTATCCAGCTTACAACCTCTGGCTGAAGCAGGAACTCTTCCATACTTCGAGGGTGAGCGACGTGGAATGCATCAGTTTGTAAGCAAAAGAAAATATGTTTTCCGAGTAAGTGTGTTGACTCGTTTTTCAGATTTACGCTGGAAACTTAGCTGGAATTATAGAGAAATCCATATTCTCACTATCAACTGAAGCTGAGAAGTTCAATGGAGAGATAGTTTACTGTTTGGATGAGACATGCGCTTACCCTGTTCGAGATGTAAGTTAAGCTTACACGTTTCCTAGCAATGCTTCTGCTTAAGTTCCTCTCTGATCGTTTGCCAACCAAATCTTTCAATTCTGATAATGTACAATCGTTTACTAAATCTTGGTTCCATCACTATTTCAATCAAATTCGATTTTCATGCGGATTACAGGTTGGATTTCGTTTTTTTTTCAAATATTTTTCATTTTCCTTAATTTTGTTCTTCAAATTCTTCTTTCAGGTTCCAAAGCACACTATGGCTTATCCAGTTTTCCGTCTTCTGTTTGAAAAAACTGTTGGATTCTCAAATAAAACATTGCGATTGCTGATGGATTATACGCCTGAGGTGAGAAGCTCATGATCCTCCATCTCTAAAGACTCAATCCTTCTTCAGATTCCTCAATCGAAAGCTCTTAAAATCTCATCTGGAGACATCTCAGAGAAGAAAACTTTCCAATGATAAATCTATGTTTAAACTTCTAATATTATGTATCAAATAAACTCGAATACAATATTTATCTGAACTTCATTCCCCATCAGATCCATCTTGATAAGCTTCTACAGGAGAGAAGCTTCTCGTTCTGTTCTTGTTTTGAATTAAAACTTTTCAAAAACTGATTCTTCCTTCTTTGAAGTGATCAAGAAGCTTCGGGAACTTTCTTCTTTTCAATTAAACGAAGTTCTCTCTGATTCTCCCGAATTCCTTATGAGTTATCGCTCTCGTTTTTCTCCCAGCAATGAGACTCTATTTCTCCTTCTAAACTGTTTTTTCTTTCTGTCCCTCTCTCTCGCTCTCTTTCTCAAAAAGATAAAAAAAGGTTTTCACTTCAGTATCCTATTTGGTCTTACCTGGAAACTTCTTGAATAAAAGAGAATTTCTTCCAGCTGCTACTAAGCCACGTCGTCTTGATCGTCAGGAGGCGTGGTTCGTACCAAAACGAGTTTTGTTCCGTAGGTCGGTCGACCCAAAAATGGACACGTCGACATAATGTTCAAGAGGATTTCCATTTCTTTGGATTCTGGCATTAGTCTCTCACACGTATCGTTCATTGTCTCAGAATTACTTCTAGCTCTGCATTCATCGACTCTGACTGCTACTCTCTACTTCATCATTTTCATTTTGGTTCCTCATTTACAGGATAATGACAGTTTCAAACGAATTTTCTTCTTCGATTGAGTAGCGATAGAGAAGGTCAGAAAACATCTGACACAGTTCAATCGCTTAAAATTCAGACGCTATTTCCACTTATTATACTTACAATCTCATATATCCTCTTTGTTTTGTTAATTAAAATGTAAATCTACGATTGATCATAAAGTTTTGAGAAGAAGGCGAGAGAGTACGTTCTCTGGCGTTTTCCTTGGAAAGATGAAGAGACTACTACTACTTATACTACTCTCCTCATAACTATGAATAAGAAGTAAGAGAAAGAGACTGTGAGAGTTGTGAGATAAGAATAACCTTGTTCCCTTAGAGCACACCTTCATTACCTTTTATGGATGACGGTATGACCCGTGGGATGACATCTCAACGACCTTTTCAAGATTTTGGGCTCCTATCTAGAAGATTTCATCTCACTCCGCCCTACTCCATGATTGAAACACCTTATACAGAGCATTCATTGTCTTGTATTGGCACTGTCTTAATCCTTCTTTTATCATTTTTTTTCTTCTCCTTCTCATAACTTTGAAATGAAATTCAAATTTCTCTCATTGAAATGAGAACACAAAGAATCATCTCTTACAATATAAAAACTTGTCTTACGAATGAATGCAAAGTCTCTGCATTGACCTGAACTAACTGGATTTTCGTCTTAAAACAAACATTTCCTTATTACTTTCTTCATTTCTTTCTTTTCTTAGAAATGAAACTGTACGTCGTGGCTGCCTTAGCCGTGGCTGTCGGATATGCTTCTGCTGCCACCAAGTTTGATGACATCAAAGAAATCTACTCAAACCCTCTAGCACATGGTATTATACATATCCTTAGTAACCTCTCTCATCTCTTTCTTTTTATAGGATTCGGTGAAGATATCGATTGGGTTCCATGGGAGGATGCTATTGAGAAAGCTTTAGATGATAAGAAGCCAATCTTCCTTCTCATTCACAAGACCTGGTGTCACGCTTGCAAAGGTATTCGATTTTTCTTTTTTTTCTTATTTCTATATTCTTCTTATTAAGCTTTGAAGAAAACTTTCCAACAGTCTAATGCTCGCAAGGCTTTCAAGACCCTCTCTGAGTACTTCATCATGGTTAACACCGAAGACGATGAAGAGCCATTCGAAGAGGAATACAGACCAGATGGAAAATACATTCCAAGACTTCTCTTCCTCGGTAAGATTAGAACATCTAACGACATTATATGAATCGATTCTTTAGACACCAACGGAGATCTTCTTCCACAATTCAAGAACAAGAAGGCTGAGTACAAGAACTATGCTTTCTATTACTCTTCCCCATCTGATATTTTGAACTCCATGAAGGACGTTCTTGGACATTTCGGAGTCGAAGTACCAGAATTGAAGAAGGGAGATAAGCTCAGACCAAAGAAGAAGGAGAAGAAGGAAGAGAAGAAGGAAGAGAAGAAGGAAGAGAAGAAGGAAGAGAAGAAGGAGGAGAAGAAGGAGGAGAAGAAGCAAGACAAGAAGGAGAAGAAGTCAGAACTCTAAACGTTGTTTTAGTGTTCCTAATTATATTTATTTAATTGAAAAACTTTATTAATATTGAAATTGTTGTCTGTGATATATCACAAAATAAAATATTTCATTCAAAACCGCTCAAGTGCATTGCCCGATGATGAAGAGAAGGAAGGATGCATGATCGTGTCGTTGAGTTGGGAATACCATCCGCAAGACTTCTGACACTCAGATTGTTCATTAATGACACAAAACTTTCATTAAGAATATTTTATTGAAAACCTTTGATTGACGAGAATGATTTGGAAGTTACAAAATGAGAGAAAACCTTCTTTCTCTCTCTCATTCTCCATCATCCTCTCTTCGCCTTTCTCTCTCTCTCTCTCTCTCTCAGTTTGGTCAAAAAGAGAAATGGAGAGAAAGAGAAGAGAAATTAGCTAAGCAGATTAGAAATTCCTCTGTTTATCCTTTGTATTTTCATGTGATAACTAGATCCATTTCCTAATCCTTTTTCCAATCATAGCAAAAGCTAAGAGAAATTCAAAGCGCTTCTTCGGTGGCAGCAGCAGTTGCAGAGCTTGTCTTCCTCATTTGAACAAAAAAAGATTTTTTTTATTTCCAATGGAAGTATAAGTCTCATTTTAGTCAAAACAATAATTAAAAAGTACTTGTACATTTTGATTTTGAAGTGTTCGAATGATATAGACTGAGAGGGAGCGAGAGAGAGAGAAAGAGGGAATGAGAGGGAAAAGAGCAACAGCTAGAGGAGGGGAGAGGGAGAATGGGAATTCTCTTAATATTTGTGATATCTTCGACTGAATGTCAGTAACTTCTACTCATTTCTCCCTTTCTCTCTTCTATTTTCCCTCTTTTTATTCTCCCCCCCCTCTTCTTCCCTCTGCCCTTCTCCCTCTCTCCGCCTTTCTCACTCCATTCAATTGCCTCTCATTTGCTTCTCAACTTGTCCTTATTTCTTCAAGAAATCAACCAACTTTCTCATGTCGATGTGTAATATTCAAATATGATTTGTAAATTCAATTGGTCCTAAAACGAAGATATTTGAATGTTTTGATGACACTTTCCTCACTTATCTTATCCTTTCTTTGCCATTTCGGAATATCCGGACTTTCAAATCTCCGGAAGTTTTCTTTTTTTTCAGATCGAGAAGCACACACAGAAGAAGAAAGAGAGAGAGAGAAAGGAACAAAACGATTTGTATGATAGAAGAACATCATTAGAACCACGTTGCTTTTGAACTTTCACAATTGTTTTTGCCAAATAAGGAAGAGAGAGGGTGAGGGAAAGGAGATTGTTATGAAAATTTGCATAAAGCTCAATCTTCTAATGTTCTAATTTGAAATTCTATGCTTTGTCTATTCAAATATTTAAGAAAATCCGATAAAACTTTCTATTCGCATCTTTCCCAACAATTTCTTTTTCAAATATGGAAACCTCTCTTCTCATTTTCATAGATTTTCACAAAAAAAAGTTTTTTTTTTCTCTTTTCCTGTAGTCCAAACGGGGGTGAGTGAGATGAGCTGTTGGGGGTGAGCAGTGAGGTTGGAGGGAATGCTGAGAGATGAACATTCTAATTGAATAAATTTTATGTTTTTCCTCTAAATCTCGTCCGTTTTCAAATAAAATAAGCTTAAACTTGCAAAAAATGGCAACTGATACATGTAGGGTAGTAACGGAGAGAAGAAAGAGGGAGAGAGAGAGAGAGAGAGAGATAGAGTGATGAGCCGCATGATGCATAGAGACAGATACACATAGAGAGAGAGAGAGAGGGGAGAAAGCATTGTGTCAAATTGAGCCATCTTAGAAGTTCGTTAAAGCTGTTGTTGATCAAACGATATTTTAATGTGTCGATGATGAATTCTTTTTTTTTTCTTTTTTGCTTCTTTTCTTTTTTTGACAAAAGGCTTGTGAGCTTTTTGCTCTCATGCATACATGGCTCTGTTGCCCTCAGCTTGAGGATGAGAAAGGAGAAGAAAAACTTTTTTTTTTTTTTCTTTTTGCCCTTTTCCTTCCAACTTCATTGAATAGATTGTTCGATTATCCAATTAGCATATATATTTATTATAATTTGAAATAACTACTTTATAGGACAGACGGATAAAAAGAGTAAAAAAGGAGAAATGTGGGCTGTTATGAGATTGCGAACAATAAGAAGATCAACTCGACCATTAAATCAAAGACCTTTGAATAAGAAGAAAACAACCAACAGCCAAAGGCAGAAGAACTTAGAAAAGTTTGTTTTCTTTTTCTCTTTTTTATTTTTAATTTCAAAAAAAAAAATTCTGCAATATCGTTTTGTGTATATCAAGTTGGTGAGGGAGCGAGTCCAAATTAGAATGCGACCGTTCAGTTGTCGATCAAGAAGTGAAATGAATTGCTTCACGTGAGATTAATCCACGTGAGAATCTTACATGACCCATGTGTGTGTGGATATGTTTCTTTCTAATTAGCATAGCACATCAGATAACAATTCGTGGAAAACATATAATTTCCCATTCGTTTCAACTGATTAAAATGTAATTTTCATTTTCATTTTTGGAATCAAAGTGATGAATAATCCAGTCATCTCTCTCTCTCTCTCTCTCTGTGTGTACCTCTCTCTCTCTCTATACTATATTTATATAAGTTATATATTCTTTTCACATCCAGCTTAATTACCGCCTGACCTCAAATTAAGAGCTTCATATTTCAATTAGAGGTGAAATAGAAGAAAAAGCTCAGAGAGATGCTAGAGAAAGACAGCCAGAGCTAATTAAAAGCTGCTCATATCCCTCCCCATCTTTGTCGTCATTTTCTTGGCATTGCCATTGTCGTCATTTGAAGCTTAGCAGTTTCAAAATCATATTTTATAATGAATTTTCAACACAAAATATTTCAATCCTTCATTGTCTGTTTTTACTTCTCAGCTTTATGTGTTAAGCCATCTCCTTAACGCCTAGGTTTCCAAAATATCCCTCTCTCTCTCTCTCTCTCATTGTCCCTCTTTCTCTTTTTAACCTACTCATACTCTCTCTCTCAATCCATTTATCTCTCTGTCCCTCTCTTTGATTAGTCCTTGATATTTCCAGTTGTAGCTTCTCTCTATGTTCAGTCACTGCTCCATTTCAATCTTTGAAAAAGAAATTAACTTTCATCACTCTTTGCTTACTCTTCATTTGGCTTTTCATCAGCTATTTCGTTCCAAATCTTACTCATATCCTCTGACAATTTGACATTTCCTTCAAAAGGAGTTGTTCTCTCCTTCGTGCTCATCTTAATCATCTTATTCTCTTCGTCGTCTTCTTCGTCTTTGCCTTCTCCTCCTATGTCCTCTCTTTAACTAACGAAAAACCAAATTTTACTGAAATCAACATTCATTTTCATCTTTCTCTCCTTCCACTTCGCATTTTGTTTTGACCGATCCCTCCTTTTATGGCAAATTTTCAAACCTAAATTCACATTTCAGCATTATGAATCAGTTGTGTTGCTTAAGATGATGAAAACTTCATTTGATTCTCATTTGGAATAACTCAAGCTATCATTCAACCTCCTTAGACATTCATCTTCTTCGTTCTCTTTTGATTGTCTTCTCCTCTTTAATTTTTGGCTGAAAACCACCGTTCTCATACGAATTCTTCTCATTCTCTATTTCTTCCGAATCTCAGACCTCTTATTGAATAGTCTGGATGTTCACCTTCTTCATCCATCTCCGCTTCAAATCTTCTTCATTCTAGCAGTTTGAGCTTCAAAACCCATTTTTCTGATCTAAACTTACCCTTTATGTTTCTCCCTTTCGCTCATAATCAGCTTAATCAATTATCTTAGGAGCTTACCAGTTTGTTGACGGTCTGCTCCCTATGGGCCTTTATCCTCAGCCGTTCCACAGCTTCCATAGCTTTTTTTGACGATCGTTAAATAGAGAGAAAGAGATTTTAAAAGTAAAACTATTATGGATATAAGGTATTGAGAATTACAACAACTAATGATCCGTTAGCTTAGTCTTGAATGATCATCTGAATTGAATTTGTTTATGTTTCAGACAATTCGGAAGTCGAACACCATTCAAGAATCGTTTCCTACAAAGATTATATTGGAGTTTACGACGATGTCAGTTCTTCATATGTTTCACAGAAGACGGTAAGTCCTTTCTATACAATTTCACTTTCAATCGTAATCATATCGGTATAATATGAGTAGAAGAAGGAATAGGAAGGAAGATATGCCATACGACTGAAAGAGAGAGGGAGAGAGAGAGAGAGAGAGACAGGAAGAGCTGGTGTGAAAGAGAAAGGGAAAGTGAGGGAAATGAATGAATTTCTCTATGGCCAACATATTATTTGTCTTTTCTTCTTTTAACTATATTATAATTTTGATCAATGATCATTTTGTTTTTAAATGGAAAATGTCCTTAAATGGATTGAAGTGAATGCAGACGATTGGTGAGGGTGGGCTAAACGTGCTTTTTCTTTCGAATATGTCAAACAGACGATGTGCAAAGGACAGAATGACGAGAAACACAAAGCATCGAATAGAAAGTTCCTTAATGATGAAGTAGTAGAAGCATCGAAGAAGGCGTGCATGCGACCTCTGTCTCTGCAGCTCATCTTTCGTTATTCAATGGTTATTCATTTAAAGAATAAAATGTTCATAAGAATGAAGAAGATGAAGATGATGGAAATGTGCTCTAAAGAATAGACAGAGAGAGGGTGTGAAAGACAAAACTCACTCATCTATAACCAAATGGATAAAAGAAAAACGAAAAGCCACCAGTCATCACCTCGTTTTCCAGTCATTTGCTTTTTCGTTCCATTCACTTGCCATCATTTGTATTTTGCTTCCACACTACTTCTTCGATTCCTCTATTTTCATAGAAGATGCTCAGAAAAGAAGAAAACTGTAATGAGAAGGCTGCGGCCGATTTATGAGCTCATCCACATAATCGCTCTTCTTGTTTTTTTGTTAATGACTTCTTGAAAAAACATTTATCATCCTGTGTGAAATCACATCCGAACGAATATTCGAATGTTATGCTTTTCCTTCACATCTAAGAAAGCTTCATATGCTCATGTTGTAAGTAGTGAGAGAGATATAGAGATAGAGAGAGAGAGACACACAAAAAACAGAAAAAACACTGAAGAAACATATGTTTTGCTGTCTTCATTCACTAGTAGAGTAGCCTCTCTCTCTATATATCTCCTTCAATAGATAAATGGATAGAGAGAAAGAGAGAGAGAAGGAGATCATTCCATTTTTGGTTTGTTAAGCTTTGATCAGATGTTTTGTTGAAAGGACATCATTTTGTTGTATTTTTCATTAAAACTTTTCGTCCTTTGTTAACAAAGTCATGGAAGAATCTATTGTTATTCGACAAAGAAATTCCCTTCTAATCTACTTTCAATTCATTTTCGTTTTACTTCTCATATTATCCATGTCTTTCATTCATTCATCTCCCCCTCAAAGAACTCCCCCCCCCTCTACACAAGCCTTCTATCTTGAGTCATACAAGACAATGTTACCAACTTACTAACCTAATCTTTCATTTCCCTTTTTTTGATTTTTATAAAAATTTTTAATGAATTCATCATCTCTCTCTCTCTTTCTCTATCTTTATCTCTATTCTTCTCTCTCTCTCTCTAGCACTCTCTTTCTGTTCATTTATCGGGCCGGATAAGCATCGCTATTAGCAACGCCTTCTTCCAGCTTCTCTTCCAGAAAAAAAGAATATGATTGCTAGAAGAAAAGAGAAGAGAATCTCAGAAATGAAATCATTTTATTTGAATACTCCTTAACTTCCTCCTAGCAACCTGTGGATAAGCATTGGAAGTGACAACAATCCATTCCCTCTGCTGGCTCGCCTTCTGTCCCTCCAAGATTCATTCAACTTCCCATTTAGCTTCCTCCTCTCTGTGTGAATGAGAAAAAGAATTTGAAATTCAAAAAAAATTTTTTTGGTGCTGTTTCTTTTCGTAATTAAAAAAATTACGATCAATAGTATCAACTTCCAGCATCAGCATGCAGAGTGTAAGGCCTATGCATATGCATTCATTCATTCCTTTCATTTCTTTTCTTCTTCCCAAATAAGTAATATTAAAAGCAAAAAAAAAGAAGAAAAATGTTTGAAATATTGAAGTGCTTTGATATGTTTTGGATTCTCTTACCATAGACGGTGCTAAATTACATAAATTATAATGTTACAAGAGAGAAAGAAGGGACACATGGTCTGCAAGCCTTGTTCTCCCCCCCCCCCATTCCATGCTACTATGAGCTACTTTCATAGCTCACACAGCTTTCTTGAAATTCTTTTTTCGCAAAAAGCTATTTGATAGGCTTATTTGGATGATTTAAAAAGGTGCTTTCAGAAGCTTTTCTCTTGCACAAAAAAAAGATTTGTCTTTGATTTCTCTTCCTCACATTCATTCACAACGTGTACCTCAAGCTCTCCTTCTTCAGGACAAGATGTCCAACACATGATAGTCTGAATAAATCTATTAATCATGCAGTTTCCTTCTTTCATATATATATTCTCTTGTTCTTCATTTGCAACATACCATCAACATCTTAAGCTCATTTTCATTGAATGACGTAATAAAAGGACTATTTCATGCTTTGTCGTCATGATATTTCTCCTAAAGTAAGGAAGTGAAACAACTATTTTGAGCTGCATTCTAGACTTTCATTGATTTTAGAATTCTATGCAATGGTCTAATTATACCCATATTTGCCTTTTTCTTTTTTCCTCTCTCTCATTCTCTGTCTTCCCTTTCTTATTCTCATATACAGCTTCTACTCTCTCTCTCTCTCTCTTTCTCTCTTTATTTTTTTATACTCTCCCTCTCTCTCTCTCTCTCGTCATCCTCACTTTTTTTTCTTTTTGACTTTCACAAGCTTTGTTAAATTGGACAAAGAACTCGGTGTTCTTTTCATATTTTTATCGATTTTATTACTTAATTCAATATTTTTCCTGACTTTGAGTTTTTGAAGGCTTTTTCCATTTCTCCCAAAATCCTATGTGGAGATTGAAATCATCAAAGAAAGGTAAGTCATACTCGATCATCATCTTACCGATTTGTAATTCATCTATTTTCCGGAAAAACCAATGCTCCAAGTGAGAAAACCAATAGTAGTTACTCGGGTAATAAATTTATTCATATATTTAAACAAATGATCCGATATGATTCGCTTTCCCTGACTCTATCTTGAGCTGACTATCTCCTTCTTCACTAAAAGATACCTATAGAGAGATAGGAATTGACTGTGAGAGTAGACCGGGGCGATTCATTTCCTCTCTACTGAACGGCAGTCTAAAGATATGCTAATGAGACATTAGACGTAATACGTGACTAACGTCATTCTGTCTAACATGCAGCTCACAAGCGGTTGCAATCACTTTCTCTCTCTCACCCTTCTAGTTAGTACTTTATTATTTATAGAAGTAGAAGAAGATGCAGAGGATACTGAAGATCCTTTCACAACAAGACCACCAAGCCTCGAAGAATTGCAACGGCTCACTGGTTTCAATCGGAAATGGATAATGTTTTTATATAGGAACTTCAAACAAGTAAATCTGACTTAATACATCAAAAGCTAATACTCGTTGTTCAGCATTGTACGAACGGCAGAATGTCTGATCAAGAATGGAGGGCTGTCTGTCGTTTGATGTTTCCTTGCTCAGCAGATGATAGATTTGCAGACAGATTATACAAAGCTATAACAAAAGATAGGGGAACTGAAAAAATACTTTTCAAGGTTCTTGTTGTTTTGCCTCATATCGTTTAACTATGAAAAAAAATTTGAAGGATCTCGTCGTCTGTCTCTGGGAGCTCACAGAGAGTGGACGTTCATCGAAATTTGTTTCAGAACAACCATTTTCCACAACGGCACAATTTGTCTTTGGACTAATGAGTCCAGATGAAAAAGTATGTCGAAAGGCTATGAAATGACAATCCATTGTAAACTTAGAACTTGGTTGATGAAGCTCGTTTCGTAGAATATGTTCGTTGCGTTTTTGCATTGGGTGCCCGTAAACAAGGAACGAATAATACCCAGCTGGGTCTTCCGGCAGCACCGATTTATCGCACCAAGGTGATTCATAGTTTTTTAATTAGTTAGCTTGTTCAATGATCCAAAGTAGGTTACATCAATATGCATTTAAGAGCGCCGACGATGACTTGAAACCAAATGCATATGTGATTCGACGATTGGCAATAGATAAGTTTAGGGTATGTCAAATGCATCTCACCGAATAACAAAACGTTTGTTAAGGCATTGGATACCAATAACGACGGCTTCATAACAGTTGAAGACATTGAGAGGGAGATGGAAAACAATCGCAATACCATAATCCTGAAGAGTATAAATGATTTTAATATCCAAGATACTAAACCTTTGCCAATTGAAAATGTTTGACTTGTTATTGATTTGTTATGATGGTACGAATCTGATTAGCATATTGGAACTCCACGTGGAAACGTGATTGATATCAGCATTCATTTCATTTTCACTCATTTCTCGCACAGACCGGTTGTTCCTACTACCCTTTCAGTAAAACGAAATTGTAAAATGAATACGTTTATTATATTATATTAGTTATAAATATAAAATCTTTGAAATCATAGTTAACATTGAAATCGGAATTAGAAGTCTCAGAACTCAAAACGATCTCAACAAGAGATCCCCATTATCTCATGGTCAAAGGAAATGTCTTCTTCTCTCTATTCTTTTGTTCAGCAAATAACTTATCATAGGTAGTCTTCAGAAAGTGTGTTAATTATCCGATTGTTTGATTATGGATAGTCTTTACTGCACCATGGGAACGATCTCTTCAAATTTTCGCAGCTCGAAATGTCAATTATCATACCGAAGTTATGCTCTCCACTAGTTATGTGGAAAGCTTGGAACATGTTCTGTCTTTCCAATTCCTTGAACCTCTTTTTTACTTCAGTTGATACATACTAATTAAATGATCACTTTATGTTCATCGATTGTGATCTTATCAGTTCGTATGCTTCGAGTGTATTATGCGGCTCTTGTTTCTTTCTTTAATAAGTATATTCTCTTTGGTGAGCTCGGCTTCATTCAAAGAAGTTAGATTCCAAATATTCAGTAACACTGATGGTTAGTTATGTAGAGGATTGTAGTTATGTTCGATATGTTATTTCAGATGACTTTGATTCTCTTTTGAAAGTTGGTAGACGTATACATGCTGATAACAAACACACTACTATCGTATCGGAAGTTGTGCATTGTACTGGAGATTCCTCTCCATCTCAATGTGCTGAAGTGAATAACCAGGATATCCTCGTAGTTTTGTCTCAGTAATTGAACTTCTCATACATACCTACTGACCCACATTGTTATAGTGATGATGTTTTAAGCGAGAAGTATTATCTATCCAGTGAGGATAAAACGGCACATGTGCAACTAGTAGAAAGGTAGCTTGAGGTATGGAAGCTGTTCGATGAAATTTGTTTCCAGAGGGTTCATAGATTTCTTTGGAAAATGTTTAGGTGAATTCAGAAGAAGATCAGAGCAGCTTGATCACAGTGATGCATTAGGTTTTGCTAATTATTTTTTCAAATACAAAGTACAAGTTGTAGAACCCTTGTCGAACCTTTTCCAAACAAGTTCACTTAGAGAGCTATATGATAAAGCGAGATTACCAACAGAAGAAGCTCTCAACAGATTTGTACTAGAGAACAAGGATGAGAAAGTTATCTTCTTATTGATGCTTAACACAGGTTCCGCATAGAGATTTGTCTTTCGAGCTTTTCCTTTTCAGAATCATTCAATGGTTTCCCATATCTTCTCCATTCTTTGGAAATGAGTATATCTACAAACTTCAAAGTAAGTATTTCAAATAAAGAAACAGTAGGTGAAGAAGAGAAAAAGAAAGTTCTGGAACATGGTTGTTTCTATCTTGACTTGTGAAACTAAAAACTTCGAAAATTAATTCCAGCTAGGCATAGTTAGCTGTTTGGAGACTCCCGAGCTTTGTTCTGACACATCAGTATCAAACTTGGTTTCATACAAAGATGGTGAACGGTACAAACTGTACGACGGAGAGCTGAATTATCCATCTATCAGAGACTGGGCAAAAAGGTTAGTTGAAGCACTTCTTTTTGAATCTTCTTTCTCATAGGCTTGCTAACCCTGTTCTATCTGTTCTATCGTCGGATATAGTTCCCATGTATCGGTCAGGAATCATTCCAGGTTTCCACCTAAGAAGGCGATGAGAGAAAATCTTTATTTAAGGATTCGAACAAGCCCAGGATACCGTCACCATGCTCTTCATTCCTACAAAGAAAAACCAAGTTTATAAAGATTATCTGAATTTTGCTAAAGAGACTCATGGGAAATACCATTTGACAGTTATGATTGAAAAAGAAATAGCAAAATGGTTAGTGAGCTATCATCTTGGAAGATATCGAGTGACTTCGATCTATTAGGCCCAATCAACCAGCCTTCATTACCATGAAGCCTTTGGAACAAGTATCAAAAGCTTTCGTTAAGTTCCAGGATATCAACTACGAGTCAATGGCTCATTACATATCCACTGGAATATATCCTTCTATTGTAAGTGTTTTGCTCCTGAGAAAGAAACAACATCGTATCATTCAGCATGATTTGAACTCTGCGCAATCTGTTCTGACTGCACTCTCAATCGCATCCCCATTAACCATCTTCTTTGATCCAACAAAACTGAAGGAACAAACTCCGTTTGCCAAACTTGCTAGTGAGCACCCCATCAGACAGAATACCTCAGAGTTTGCTGTAGTTATTGGGTTTGATCGCTTGAATACTATTCTGAGTAATGAGATATTTCAGAAGCAACTTATTTGGAACATACTTCATAGAAAGACTAGGCTTAGACTTGTCGCAGCCTTCATACATTCTTATAAATCAAGACAGAGTGAGAGATATTGAAGGTTCTTCATAACGAATCTTATATTAGACATGCATTCATACAAAACGTATTGCCAAGGAGAACAGAGATGAGATACTGCATTGGATTAGTTCGTCATTGAAGAAACCGTGTGCACGAGGTAGCTTGCAATCTTTCTTCAGCTGTCATCAGTCTTCTTTCAGAGATACAGTTTGATTTGAACGAAATCGTAAATCTCTCAAAATGGGAACAGTATGAAAGTATCAAGGATTTGTTAAATAATAAGCAATTAGGAAAGAGTCATGATGAGCTTTAGAACTAATAAAGTATTTTCGAAAGAGAAGTAGTATTGACGAAGAAGCCTTGATCGTACCACAGAACAGCAGATGTTCTATTAGTTACTGTTCTTTCAAATATGGAATGAACAAAAAGAATAGAGAAAAGTACAAATGAATCATGGAACACACAATTTACCTTAGGGTGTTGGGTTCGATTAGATAACAGTTGTTGTTTAACATAGGTCGTTTGATAACCTTCCTTTTTTGAAAACCTCTCATAGATTGCTTAGTTGAACTCTCGTTATGTTTTACGGCGTCGTTCTTAGCAGAAATACGAAGCAATTTCCAGAGACGCTTGAGGACATCCTTTCAATGTCGGCTGGCGGATCGTCACAGTTCCCAGCTGGGAAGAAAGCCAAGTCTTTACTAGCAGTGTATGAAGCAGGATTTGCTCTGTAAGACTTTCAAGTTCAAAAATCTGTTTCGTTAGGGTATCTTCAAAAGGAATTCTAGACATATGGTCATTATCGTGTCAAAAAGGTTGATAAAAACTTTATCATACATACAATTCTCAGATTAGCTTTACGCTTCTTGACCTTTCTGCAGACTTGACTTTCATTTTATTTTTTCTGTCAAGCATCTATTGTGCTCAAGTTCGTTTGTAGCTATCGATTAGCAGCTTTTCTCAGGGTAATCCCAGATTTTCTCCCCATTTATATTCTTTGAAACATGTTAAAGAAAGCTTATGGTTTGTATCAAAGCGATCCTTATAAGGGGATATAGCAGCTGCTTTTACTTTGCATATACTCAAGCACGCTGAAAGCGCCAATCAATAGTCCTGACCCGTATTCTATTTATGTCGATATTTGAAGGGAGGGTTCATTTGTCATGCAAGCACGTCTATGGCTTCTTCTTGCTTTCAATTTTGATGTCCATCTTCAGAAGTGAAATAACTCGATTCTAAATCTCAATATACATTTCGTTATCTCTGTTTCATTTGTTCCATTCTAGGTTCGAGGATATGGCGTTGCGCAAAGTGCGCAGCAACCTTGATCGGTTGTTTGATAAAAGCTTAACAGATTTAATACGAGGAATACGTAACAATAAAGAAAATGAGGTTCGAACCTATTTCATGCTATCATACTTCATCTTTCAACGCTTTAGGCTCGTTATATCGCAGCTTGTATCGACGAAATCAAGCAAGAACTTCGGCAGGATCCAACCTATGTTAAGGCGAATGCTATTGAGAAGCTTGCTTACGTATGAAAACATCTCTCTATTTAAATGAAAAAAACCTTTTAAGTTACAAATGTTAGGATATGACATATCCTGGGCCTCATTCAATATCATTGAAGTCATGGCATCGACTAAATATACTGAGAAAAGGATTGGTTACTTAGCTGCTGCGCAAAGTTTCCATGATGATACTGAAGTACTTATGCTCACCACTAATCTTATACGGAAAGATTTAAACAGGTTTTGCTTCTTGTTTCGAACATCTTGAATAGTATATGTGTTTCAGTCCGAACATGTATGACTCCGGAGTAGCTCTGGGTGGATTGTCGTGTTTTGTTACGCCCGATTTAGCGCGAGACCTGGCAACAGATGTTGTAAACTTGGTCGGTTCTAAATAATCATTATGAATCAAAAATATGATGAACATTCGAAAAATAATCAAAAGTACACAGCGTAGCAGCAACCGCTCATTTGTTTTGAATTCGAGAAATGAAATGCTACGTGAGATAGCACACGTGAATTTCACGTCAAAATCAATCTGATTCGTTTTAGTTGTCGTCATCGAGGAGTTACACACGTAAACGAGCCGTTCTTCTGTTGTATAAAATTTTTCTGAAATATCCCGAAGCTTTGAGGCCTACATTCCCCCGGTTGAAAGAAAAACTTGAAGATCCGGATCCAGGTAAACGATGAAGCACATCTTTTTCATCATTCTTATCATGTTAAAGGAGTTCAAAGCGCTGCTGTAAATGTAATCTGCGAGCTGGCTCGCAAAAACCCTAAAAATTACTTAACCTTAGCCCCAGTTTTTTTCAAACTAATGACCACTTCTAGTAACAATTGGATGCTCATAAAGATAATCAAGCTGGTATGTTTGACGTTTCACTTTCCGCACATTTCATTCTTAATCAGTTTGGTGCTCTTGTTCCTCTTGAACCTCGCTTGGGCAAGAAGCTTCTTGAACCTCTCACCAATCTCATTAATAGGTATGCCTTTGTCTTTGTGTTTCATCCTCATATTTCGAATTTTTTCAGTACATCAGCTATGTCATTACTATACGAATGCATAAACACTGTGATCGCCGGTATGATCCTCCTCAAAACTTTTTTCGAAAGAGTTTATTTTTAAGTTCTCATAAGCATATCCACATCTACTGGAGGAGATCACACTCCCAGTATACAATTATGCGTTCAGAAACTGGGAGTGTTGATAGAAGATTCCGATCAGAATTTGAAATATCTCGGATTATTAGCAATGGGCAAGATCCTCGAAACACATCCTAAAGCAGTACAAGCTCATAAAGACATAGTTCTGAGGTGTCTTGATGATAAAGATGAAAGTATACGGTTAAGGTAATCATTTTCTCTTTATACAATTAGAAGAGTATGAGTTTGCAGAGCTCTTGATCTCCTCTACGGAATGGTTTCAAAGAAGAATATTATGGAAATAGTTAGAAAATTAATGGAGCATGTTGAATTAGCTGAAGGTTCATATTATCGGTTTGTGCTCAGTGAACGTATCCCTTGAGAAAATAAAATTTTCAGAGATGAGTTACTCAGTCGTATAATCGGAATTTGCAGTTATAACAACTATCAATACATCACGAACTTCGAATGGTCTGTTTCACTTTTTCTTCATCTGACCAAGTTCTCTTTTAGGTACATCTCGGTGCTTGTGGAATTGACCAAAGTCGAGGGAACGAAGCATGGAGCTAAGATAGCTGAACAAGTATGTTTGCAATCACCAAAACTGACATGTTCATGTGTTTAAGATCCAAGATGTTACTGTTCGAGTTGAATCTATTCGGCATTTCTCGGTTTCCCAGATGGCTCTATTAGTAGAAAACGCAAATATTCTTTTGGCTGGAAGCGCTCAGCAACGAAGCAATATCTGCGAAGTTTTGTTGGCGGCTGCTTGGATTTGTGGCGAATATAGCCAGTATGTCCACCGAATCCTATCATGTTTCATTTGACTGTTCAGACACGTTCGTAACATTTCGTCTGTTTTGGAGTCAATGCTCAAGGCTAAAACATCCATAATGCCAGGCCACATTCTATCTGTTTATGTGCAAAATATCGGCAAACTGTATAGTGCTTTACTCACAAAGGCAGAGGAAGAGGACGATTGGGACGCTATCGAATCACTTGACAATCTCATGTTGTCCAAGCTTCCAGAATTTGAGTTGGCAGAACATCTCGAAGCGCAAGAAAGAGTTCGTTCTTATATCATTTTTCGTTAGAATTACTCTCGATTCAGGCTTGTACTCTTATTTGTCTTGTTCGAGTTGTTGAGTCATTACATCAAAGAAGAGAGAAAATTGCTCATGAAGTCGCAGCTCTCTATGATGGGGAATTGAATCCTGTTGCAGCAAAGGCACAAAGAAAAGTCCCCGTCCCTGAGGGACTTGATTTGAACAACTGGATGAATGATCCTTGGGAGGACACCGATGAAGAAATAAGTGAAGATAGCGAGATCGAAGCTACTTTCGGACAGGTAACTTTTGACTATCTTATTGGTTATTAATTCTCCTTTACAGCCTGGCCCTCGTCTACGATCCGAGTTCACCTCGTTCGGAGTTTCGCCCAAGTATGATAGTGACAATGAAGAGACTACGGTTGTGAAATCTAAGAAGAAATCCAAGAAAAATGGATCTACTCAAGAATTGACAGAAGAACAATGTGCTGAGCGAAGGAAACAACGTGAAGCTGAAATTGAAAACAATCCTTATTATGTCAAAGGAACAGCTACTGTTCCCAAACGTCCGACCAAGTTTAACACATTTGAAAATCATGCAGTGATGGACAAAACTGATATTCAAAGTCCCCTGGAAATTCCAGGGGTTGTTGGATTGTCTCGTTACCTTGAACAACAAGATTCCACTTTGACTTGGAAGAAAGCAAAGGAGAGCAAGAAGATCAAAAAGAAGACAAAGAAAGGGAAGAAGAAGCATGTTAGTTCGTCCAGTGACGAAGAAGTTGCAGTTGTACATAAGGTATCCGTCGTCGTTTATGAACTCTTAAAGCTAGTGTGTAGGTTAATCGTGCTGACGGAGAAATGCCGGAGGGAGCAAAATCTACTGATGATGAAGCTGAGAGTCATGGGCGCATGGTACTTTTTGTTTCCGAGTTATTGAACAATGTATTTTACCCTAGAAGGATCTCTCTGATGAATTTAAAGCATTGGACATGGATTTGGATGAACCTTTGCGATCTGATGAAGTTCTCCGAGGACCACAAGCTTATACTAGAGTTCATCCTTCTTCTCGATCTTCCGTATGTTCTTTGTTTCTACCGCATTTCAACTGATTTTCTCAGGGACCACTTGTTCCTAGACCACCAACGATTAGTGCTGAGAGTTATAATAATCCTCTAGCTGGTCTGAAAGTGACCGACAAATCGAATGTACCTAAAAAGAAAAAGAAGAAGAGTGATGGGTATATCAGATTCCGTGTACTCGTTCATTTCTTTTTTTTTCAGAACTGTTGAAAAGAAGAAAAAATCCAAGAAAACTTCGGAAAAGCCGTTGAAAGTAGCTAATACTGAAACACCCAACTGGTTAGATACTTTGAATCAAGATCTGATCGAAGAGGCTGTCGACTCATTGAAAGTTGAGAAAAAGACGAAAAAGAAAAAGAAAGGAACAAAACCATCTCGTGATGCTTATGAAGTTTGTTACTTGTCCGTACGTATTTTTATTTTCTCATATAGGAGGCTTCTGGTGTCTGTACTCCAACTAATCCTAACGCCGAAAGAGGAAACTCGCCAAGAGTTAGTCATGTAGATACTAATGACTTGTCTGCTTGTACTCGATTGGCTGGAAATGGAGATCTTCAAGTGGTTCGTGTCGGTTGTGTTTAGCGTTTAAATGTATGAAATTACAGGATTTTGAAACTTCTGTTTCGAAAGACTTACCTGATGTTCTGCGAGTCAACTTCTGTTTCAAGAACGTTGGGATCGGTGAATTGAAGGACATTGAGGTGAACTGTATAGACTCCTTGAATATAATGCTTCAAAAGCAAAATGAGGTGACTGTCTACCGTTGTTCGTCTGATTAAACCTGTCTGTTCAGAACTCACCATCAATTCCTGGGTTGTTAGCTTCGAACGAAGAAAAGAATATTGATTTGTTTTTCAAAGTTTATACAACAAACGTCTCTCAGCAGTTACGGGGATCAATAGCTTACTTTTCGGTTTGTATCCCGGCTTCTTCTCGTTAATTTATCATATTCAAGGGTTCTGATAATGTTGTCAATGAGAAATTGGATTTTAGACTTCCACTACGTAGTACCACATTTATCATTAGTTCGCCTATTACCAAGTAAGCTAAGCTTTGCAAATTCTTACCATGGTCTGTTTTTCAGAGAAGAATATTCGAATTTACTCTCCGGAGAAGACTTAGATTTCTCGTCTTCAGTTAAATTCCAGTCAAACTTGTCGTTTAAATCATTGGTTTGCCGTATAACTACATTAGGACATTTATCAAGTTTGCCTCCTTTGGAATTACTTTTATCGAACGCAATTTATTGTAGTTGTTGAAGAAGTAGCGGCAGCAGCATCCTTATACGCCGTCACAATGTCCGGAGAATCCATCTGTGTTTTGCTTAAGAAAAAAGTTTGTTCTTTGCTTTCTCCAGCTTTGAGAAGTTAATCAATTCTATTGTGTTATAGGGTGATGTCGTAAGTATTGATGGAAAAGCTGATAATCAAGAATTAATCTCTGCCATAGTCGATGACCTCCGAGCCATCTGTACTCAATAGAGGGAGTAGTGTTAGAGAGGTGCAAAGGTGCTTGCCATTTATTGTTTTGTATATTTTGTGTACTCGTGATACCTACTAGTTTCCTCAGTTACCTTAGGGTTCAGAATTCCATGTTAATTATGACTTCACAGGTTTTATATTTATAACTAATATAATAAATGTATTTATTTCGCAGTTTTACACATTTTTATTTTCTCTCCATGCTAACTTCATGAGTTCAATTTTCCAGAGAATTATTGTGATTTCAGTTTGAAAGTATGCACGTGCACGACCGCTTCACACATAAACCGCGTGTTGAGGAATGAAACTGTCGTGAGCCAGGGCACGACCGTTCAAGCTTCCATCAAAATGCAAAATGAAGTTGACTCTTTTTCATTTTCTTCGCGTAGAGAAAAAATGCGCGGTGTCTTCCTGCAAACTTCAGAATGTCAGAACTTCCTTGAATTCCAACGGATTTTCATAATTTTTGAAATTTTTATATTTTTTAAAACGATTTAAAGATTAGGAAAGAAGAGAGATAAAGAGAGATAACGAGAGAAAGAAAGGAAAGAAAGTGAAGAACGACAAACAAGGTTTAGCCGTAGGACGAAGAGATGAGAAGCCTGCCACTGCGGGAACCTGAAAATAAAATTAAAAAAACGAATGAAAGCATAATTTTTACGTGGAAGGGGGACGTTTACACTCGACCTATACTCACGCCATGTGCTGAGTATAGGCCTGGTAAAGCTATGAAC